AAGAGTCTAAAATTGTGGGCCCAATCATCACGTGGAGGGGGTGCTGGCTAATAATAATCACTCCTACAAAGAGAAAGACAAAGAAATGATCATTCACAAATCTGCTCTAATCCCTTCTCCACCAATTATCCTTCATCTCCCACGTGGGACTTCGCCCCTCACCCTACCATTTCTTCTCCTTTCTTCTCAACATAAAATTTTGATCCAATTCACTCTCTAAATACCTTCTCTATATATCTTGTGATTTTTATCATTGAGCTTGTATGTTTCATTAGGAAGATCATATCAGAATACAGTCATGGGGGACTCTACTGCTTCATACATCCACATGGTAAGGTGACTCGACAATATTAAGAAAAGAAAATCTTGTCATAGTACTTCGCTCTTGATGAGTTTTGAAGCTATGCTTATGATGGATTTAAACCGATGCTGATGTGATTTAGGTACATCACCTTATAGAAAAGTGTTTGATCTTCAAAATGAGCAAAGAAGAGTGCATGGAAGCCCTTTCAAAGCATGCCAATATTCAACCAGTTATTACTTCAACTGGTTAGTTTATCTTAATCCCTTTCTTTGTCCATCACATGCATGAACCTAATAAATATACCTATATATTTGTTAACCAGAAATCTACACGAAAACAATATCCAGGAGCATAAAATCAGTCCATGCTACTTGCAGAATATGCTATCCATAGATTAAGAGTCTTTCTGTGTCATTTTCTCCCCCAAAAAATGACTGTTTTTGATAAACATATGCAGAGTTTAAACTTTGCTTGCTTAAAGACTACAAGTTGAGGTTCATTCCTCATCTGTTTGGTACACAGTTTTATTGGTCGTACAGTAGCACAGGTACAAGATATTTTTACACGAATATCTTGATCTATAAGTTGGTTTGCAGTGTGGAGCGAGTTGGAGAAAGAAAACAAAGAATTTTTCGAGACGTATTCTCAATCTCAAAGCAAGGAAGAAGATAGGATGTCCGAGGCAGAAACAAGTGCTATGATCCAGAAGATGATATCAGATCATGATCATAACGAAAAATAACAAAAATTTATCAGAAAATTATCTAACAACCTTTGAGTTTCGGTCTTGATGCAAGGGTTAATGTTAATTTTCTTTTGCATCAAGCCAAACTTAAAAGACAGTTAGAGTATACTATATATACTATATGGTCCCCTACTTCATTGAAATGCTTGGACAATTAGTGCTCTGTGGTTCACTATCAGAATCATATCTTCATGAAGTTTCCCCATCAAAACGTGCTTCTGCTGACATCCCAATTGATTGGTAGTCCCTCAACTATTGATCCTTCACAGGTGTAATCTGATGAGGGGTGACCTAATGAGATGAATGAAACTCATGTAAATTATAAATAAATCCATTCGTGGTTTGTTCGAACTATTTCACGTTGTTTCCTTTAAGAAAGTCATGTAAATCTGATGAGGGGTGACCTTATGAGATGAATGAAACTCATGTAAATTATAAATAAATAAATCAATTTATTTAAATTGCTGATGCACTTGAGCGATTTTCTCCGGGGGACCGAAATTTCTGTTGTATCCCGGAAAACAGACGCTTAACAAACCTCATATAGTCATGGTAAGGAGCAAATCTATTCTAAGGACACACTTCATAATATTGTATATTTTTCCTAACATTCAGAACCCCAAACCCCGTAGGAATTCATATCATCTCATAATTTAACGCGAAGGACCAATTCATAATTCGTTCTAAATAATCATTATCCCGAAGGGCCATTAGTGATGTAGGTAATCATAAAATAATAAAATATCATAAATCAATAAGAACTAACCACTTTGACATTGTATGTACAGTTGATTTCTTGAATGGTAAAAACCTTTTGAAAATAGCAATCTCTTCGTTTGATCTTCAATACCTGACCTCCTTCCTTTCCTTGCTTTGTTAAAAGACAACATAGTTTGTATGCAAAGGTTGTGTTGTGTTGTGAATACGAAGATGAATATATATGGCACAACATAAAGTAAATATCACAAGAACAAGAGACAATTTGAAGAGGATAAGAGAATTCACTAAAATATGAAGAAATAATGCAAATATATTGTGTTTTCAATATTGTCTAACTTGTCTAAATCACAATAAAGAGCTAATGTTTCAAAACCTGGAAATAGAGTTATAAATAGAAAAGAAAAACGCGTTAAAAAGCAGAAAACAGACCTAATGAGAAACTGGTCGAGCTTTAGCACTCTTGTTTTGAGCGCTTGAGCGGGAGACGGACGCTTGACAAGCAAAAATGCGCAAAACATGTCTCCCTCATTTATATCTTGACCTCTTTAAATCCAACATAAATTTCAAACTCCCAATTGAACTTCCAAATTAAATTTCAATTTGAATTGCCGAATAGATTTCGAATAGGATTCCCAAATAGAATTTGGGTTACACTCTAATTCTAATATGTTGTGATAAGGGTAATTAGCACATAACTTCCCCTTGCTGTGGAAAACATCCATACCTTTCATTTTTTGGTATTTTCACCCTTATTTTCACATTTTATTTCGCAAATTGTCATTTTTCATCTATTTTCTCAATTAAAAATTATGAAATGATGAATATACACATCTCTTAAAATAAAACAAAAAGAAAAAGGAAAAAAATAATTGTAATCATAGTCCCAAGTATTTTTTAAAAAGCACAAATGAGTCTCAAATAAATTATTAAAAGTGTAATTAGTACATAATGTCCATATCTTTCACCGTTATTGTGAAAAATGTTCATACCTTTCATTTGTTTGATATTTTCAACCTTAATTACACCGTTGATTGTGCAAACTATCATTTTTATCTATTTTTATCCAATTTCTCAATAAAGAATAATGAAATAATAAATATACACTTCTATTTAAATAAAAAATATTTTTTTAAATTTGTAATTCTTTAATAATTTATTTGGAACTCGTTTGTATTTTTTAATTTTTAAATAAATTTAATTGAGACTCGTTTGCACTTTTTTAAAAAATTAGGACTATGGTTTTTTTAGTTTTTTTATTTAAATGAGGGTATATTTGTCATTTCACAACTTTTTATTAAGAAATTGAATGAAATTTGATAGAAATGATGGTTTACGTAATCAAATGTGAATTAATGGAGAAAATGTCAAAAAAAAAAAAAAGGTGACGTTTTTCAATAATAGTGAAAGGTATGAACATTATGTGCTAATTACTCTTTTAATAGTTTATTCGGGACTCATTTGCACTTCTCAAAAAAATTTGGGACTACGACTGTAATTAATTTTTTTTCTTTTTTCCTTTTGTTTTATTTAAAGGGAAGGGTATATTCATCATTTCACAATTTTGCGTAATAAAATGTAAAAATAAAGGTAAAAATGCCAAAAAAAAAAAATGAAAGGTGAGGACGTTTTCTATAAAAACAGTGAAAGGTGGGAGACATGATGTGCTAATTACCCCTTGTGATAGTAAGAAGGCAAAAAGAGAGGAGAGTGGAATTCATATCTATATCATTTAGTGGTTATCAAATTCATTTCTGCAGTAAAAATCTGAGAAATGATGAAATGACACATACTGAACCATTTAGTTACTTGTTATGTTGGATTTTAGTATTTTCATTTCTGATTTGGATTATTTGAGACATAGATCTATGAGTAATAATTAATTTAGAATTTATGGAGGTTCGATGCCTCGGATTTCGTTCAGATATGTGTTTGCAGCGCCGTTTGAATCTCAAGGCTCTAAAAATCAGATATTATATGGATGATTTCTATCATAACTCGAATGTTTCTGAGACTTTGGCTAAGAAATAAATGAATTCTCCTAAACTGGCCTCTTATGGGATTTAGGTTAAGGCATCGAAACTCTGGAAAATACGAAAATAGCAAAGCATTGGGCGAAACTTGGGTACCCATAAATCAAATTTGCTATTGATTTCCAAAACTGCATCCGTCACTTTTTTCTTTTTAACAATCACGTCGTACAGTCATTTTAATCAAAATCTACTAATCCCACAACCATTTTAATGATTTTTTTTTTTTTTTAAGAAAATGAGTTTTGAAATAGTGATTTCTTAAGATGTGATTAAAAAGTTAAAAATAAGTAAATAAATTTACGTACAAAGTATTTTATTGTGAAAATATATGATTGAAATTGAATATAAGAAAAAACTAGTTGTACACTTATGATTGACAACTTCCTTGACATCCGTCTATGTGTCGAAATTGGAAAATTCTACTTGTACATAATTTGCCTTACCTAAAGGTGTCCACCCTCTCATATAAAATGTTAAATAATATTTTAAATTGCAACAATATGAATGAACAGGGTTTAGTTGAAAAATGAATACTAGTAATCCAAAGCATTCATGCAAGAAAATGCAAAAGTTCCAAAAGTAGTAATTGGAGATTGAGCTCTAGCCAATATCCAAAATCACCAGAATATGAGTAAAACAGTACTAAAAATCACAACTAACAACGCTTAAGTACCAAGTATTTCTCTTCTCACAAACTAAAATGAAATCAATACAGCTTAGATGATACCAATCTTGTTAGCCACGTCCAAAGCATCATAATCTGGAGTTAACCGAACATAGGCTTTCTTGGTTCCATCAGGCCTGTATCACAAGACAAAACAGGATTAATTATCTTTAAAAATGCTTCAAGAATGAAATAAAATAATGAATGAGATGAAGAGCATAAAAAGAATAATGCTACGTAGCACCACTGGGATTGCAACCCTAGTGTCGGTGGCACTAGACGATAGACTAAATGATCAACGCCACCTAAACTGGGGCTGCAATCCTAATGAGGCTAAATAGCATTACTCGCATAAAAAAGGGATCATATTTCCACCATAAACAAATAATCAATAACTTCAAGGACAAAACCTACTTAAAGCATCGTATTCTAGATTGCGATGACGAGATCAAAAAAATGTGCAAGAAACCATCAAATGTCCAGGTCTCCCGTGTGAATTTCAAATGCAATGTCCGATCTAATAAGTGAAGAACAATTACCTGATCAAAGTATTCACTTTCTTGGTCTGAATGTCATACATCTTCTTTACTGCATCCTTGATCTTCTTCTTGTCAGCACGGATGTCAACAATGAAAACCAAGGTATTATTATCCTCAATCTTCTTCATAGCAGACTCAGTGGTCAAAGGATATTTGAGGATTTGGTAGTGGTCCAATTTGTTCCTTGGAGGAGCACTGATGCGTGGATACTTGGGGTTTCTGTCCTTCTTCAATGTCTTGGGCCTGTGGAATGTAACCTTTGTTATGATCTTCTTTGATTTCTTCTTGATTGTTGAAGAGCCTGCTTTCACAGCCTTCGCAGTCTTCAAGGCCTGAGCCTTTGGATCGGCCTTTTTTGTACTATCCACTGTGAATCAAATGCAAATGCAATGATAAGATATTATTAACAAAATGCATTTATCATACAGCGAGAATAATAGATTTGGGTAGATATTAAGGCTCGAAAAATAAATGTAAATCATTATTATGAGTATGAAAAATTTAACTTGTATATCGTGTTTAACGAGGTTCTTTAACCATTTAATGTCATGGAATCTCAATTTAAATAGCTTCTATGGGTTGAATATACCATCAAGGAGAAAAATCTCAGATCGAAAGAAAAAGCTCCTGCAAGAAACAGAGTTCTGGGCATGGCACTTGTGAACCTTTCAAATTTACAGCCATAAAGAGAAACAAAAGGCATCATTTTCTTAGGGCACAACTAAACAAATATCACCTCACTATTAATTTGGACCGAGTTCAATTAATTAATTCCAGGAAATCCCGTTTAACAATCCCAGGAAACTCCTCCAAAGAACACGCTTTAACCAAAGAGAGAACCTCAAGAAAACAAATCAGAAAAAGAGAATGCTATAGAACCTAACCCCCGATATCTCTCAGATCCGAAAGTTTTTTAAATACCCCGTTAATTTACGAACGAAAAATAAAACTTTGTCAATATAACAGTCCATACAAACCCAGAACTTGCAACTAAATCTACAATTTTTTTTAGTAATAATATACAATAAATTAAAGTTTAACCGAAATTACTCAGCGCAAATTACTATTAAGTTCCTAAACTTTACAATACAATATAAGTATCCACATAAACACTAATAAATAAGATATAAACTACAAGGTTAAACACATACCTTTAGCAGGAGCCATTGGTGATTACTGCGAACACAAACCCTACCTGTTAAAACAGAATTCAAATACCATTTTCAATAATAAATCGAACCACAACTAGGCTCAAACATAGAAATGAAATTGTATGCATGTTTCGAACCTGGAGAAAGAGAGAGAATTGCTGCTTCTGCAGCTAGGGTTTTGAAATTGATATATATGTACAGGTTTTGGGCGTTTTGATCTAATTTAGGCTACTTGGGTCCAAACCTAATTTGTTGGGTAACCTAGTCCATGGGCCGGCCCACTATAAAATCCGAAATTATTTTGGGCTGATTATTAGTCAAAGAAGGCGAGTGATTTTTATAAAAAATATGGAAACTAAAGTGGAATCTATTTGTATTTTTGAAAAAGAATTGCGATTCCCTATGCAATTTTTTCTTCATTTTTTTAGGTTTTGTTTCTTTTTCGTGTTCTTGTTTATTTAAAGAGGACAAATCCATCATATTAAGGGGAAAAAATGGAGGAATGGACGTAATTTACAATTAAGTGAAAGGTTGAAGATATCCAATGCCAGGGATTGATGGAGGGGGGCTGGGGGCTACACCCCCCTCCCCCGACTAAATTTTTTTTAGTTAGAAAAAAAATTATGTAAAAAAAAAAATCATGTATAATTTTTTTTTTTACTTATTACTCCGGCCTGTAATTCGATCCTGAATCCGTCTCTGTCCAATGCTAAAAAAGATTGAATGTAAATTAATAGTTCTGAATGCTTGGAAATGAGAAGTGCAAATTTTGCTAGCCTGTGTTTGATTCCACAACTTTTTTCCATTTTCCTCGTTTTGGGCTGTTTGATAGCGTTAATTTTGCTAGAAAAATCTTTTCTTGGTTGGCATCCCACACGCCACTTTTTCAGGATTTGAAGGAATTGGTTTTCTTGCCTATTTGGTGAGAATTTGTTTTCTAGTTTTTTTTTTCAATTTTTTTTTATTTGCAATTTAAAAAAATTCTATCAACAATGGTAAAAAAAAATTCCTTTAATGAACAATTTCCATGCAAAACAAAAAAAAAAAAAATTCCTTTAATGGTATTCGGCATGATAATTTTTAAAAAAAGTATTATTATTATTATTTCTTTTTTTGACAATTGGAACAAATTCTAAATCCAATGGTAGAGAAAATTATTACGTTAATGAACAATTTCCATAAAAAACAAAGTCAAACGGATATTAAACTTTCAACATTTTTCAGGTGAAAAATTATACAAATCAAACAATTTAAAATGTATGAATTTCATAAAATATGTAGTTCAAATTAATTGTTGATTCTAATTTCCTAACAAAGGAGGTCATCAATTGTCTTTGAATTAAAGTTGTTGCATCCATTGTCTTTTAACTTAAAGTAGTAGTCTTAGGTTAGTAAAACGAGTTTTGCCCGACGTTGTGCAAAATTTCCTTCTTTCACGCGTTGATAGGAGAAACAACAAAGATGGCAAAATGGATTCTTAGACTCGCAAGTCGCAATATTGTTTAAATATCTGTAAAAATTTTACCAAATTTCATTTTTGATTAAAGATGACGAAAGATGAAAGTACAAACATCTTTTATTTATGCTCCAATCTACTTATATTCATCCATTTAGATCCAATGAAGCACTCATGTTTTTGAATTTCAAAAACTTTCGAGCATCAGAAAAAGATTAGTGAAAAAGCAAGAGTCGAATCATCTTTATGGAAAAAAAAAAGGGAAAGCTGAGAGTAGAAAAAGACTGTTTGCCCAACAATAATAATTATGGGGTGGGGTGGGGTGGGGTGGGGTAATCATTAATGTCCCGCGAAAATGAAAAGTAGGTTGCACCAGTGATTTTCACTTATAGACCTCTCACCAAATATTTTTACCAATAAATTCATATTTTTTCACTAACTTCACCTTGCATCTCAATGATTGTACTTTATATGTTTAGTTTTACTATGCCTCTATTCGGTATGAATTAAAATTTTAATTTTAATTTAAATCAAAGTCAACGATTAATTTCAATCATATATTCCATGAGACTCACGATTTTTCAACCATACATTTCATCAATTAATATCAAAATTTAATAAAAATTTGATTTTAATCACCACCAAACCTGAGCCATGTATTTGTATTGAGTTTTGAAGCTCAATCCTCAATTTTTCTATTTCATGAATGCTTGTTAACTAGAGGTGGGTTCGCTAAATACTACAATGTGGTTATTAATCGAAAAATAATGTTATGCAAATACATTTCACGAAATTGTTGTAAAACTTGGAGTGTGACATCTTGACTTTTCTAACGAGACAAACATATTTAAATAATGATCTTTTACGAAGATCGCAATGAAATTAAATTGTATTATTTTTATTTCAGATGAATACAATATCAAGATTCCCCCAAGAATCCGAAGGATTTCAAATCACTTCGTACTAACACTCATCAAGTACACATATTAGTATGTTAATTTTTAATTATTTTAAAATCATTCATCCACTTCTAAGATTGGTAAAACATATTAAAAGAGTAAAAACACGTGAATCACGTGACATCATATATTTTTTTGTACATTATTCAATTTCATTAATTCATCAAGTATATATGCCGAAACCAACAAAACGACAATAAACAACAATATATGAAAATCACATTTATTTGAATAAAACTTAGAGCATGTTTGACTAAGCTTAAAATTCAATTAAAAATTATGTTTTACTTATCCTTATATAATTTAAATATCGTTGTTGCTTATTTGTGGAATAAGTAATATATGTATCCTTTAATTAATTATAGAGAATAAGAAGGGTGCAATTTCTAGATAATAAGGCATCATAATTGGAATTTGGATGCAACAGACCAACTTGAATTTTCATTTATGCGAAAATAAATAAACTACTATAAAAAACTTATAGTTTAGAATATTTCATTTTCAACATGACAGCTACAATTTTAGGACAATGTTACGTGTACATCCATTTCTTTTTACCTATACCCACAATAGGATATATGTACCACACATTTGAGAATTTTTTATTCATGCGGGCCCCGCGCGCCTGTGAGAGGGTATAACATTGTTGGTACAAAAAAATGGGTACAAATGGAATTGTCCATAATTTTAATACGAGTCATGCTAGTTGTACAATTTTAGTTGACAATCACTCAGTTGGGGGATCCACTTTTTTTGTTCAATTTTTTAAACATGCGGATCCCGTACACATGTGAGAGGTTGTCAACCGAGATTGTCAACCTCAATTGTACAAATATAATTTTCCTTTTAATATAGTAAAGAAGACTAGGATTACAATATATTTCTAATTTCACGTCTCTTTTTCCTCCTCTACTTCTTAAAACGGATTTTGAGCTTCACTTACATATTGGCTTGAATTTCGTCAATACGATTTTTCAACGTCAACTACAGCATGTCTCTAATTAATTATAAAGGACAAAATGTGTTATTGATTAGGACCAACCCTCTAAGCACCGCACGCGAATTAATTATTAACTAACTTATCTTTTTAATAATTCTTAGATTGAATTATACAGTATTGATTTGGACAAGATACCCCAAAATGGGAATAGGACAAGGCAATGGAATAGATATAATTAACATGCAATTTCAAGAGTAAACCCACAATTTAATACATGCATGATTCGATTGGATAGGACGTTCAAACATATGCATACATCAGCTAAATAGTATTCTCATAATCGAAGAGAAAATCATCAGTTTTTATTGAGTATTGTTAATAACGAAAACTACTGCATACATCCCAATTCTATTTGTTTTGATTGATTAGGAACTATTGCGATCGATGGTTCAAGAATTATTACTTCTTGACAATGATACAACTATTTTTCTCAAGAACTGTAGTGATTAAGAGAGACGTAAACAAACTATTTATTACACATAATTAAATTCGGGACTTCAACACAAACAATAGACGCTAATTGTTCGGACCGTAATTCAAGAATACTTTACAAGATATATTGATTGTTTTATCCAATTAATGTGGAATGAAGTATAATCATCAGTGGAGTTATGAGGCAACTGATTTTCTAAAAGAATTACAACGAGCAATACAAATGCAATTGAATTTTTTATCACACAGAATTAGATCAAAGAATCCAATCCAAGCAACGCTATTTGTCCGAACTTTACTTCAAGAATCGTTTGTAAGATAGATCGATTATCGTATCCAAGGAGAATCGAGTACACTTGGTTGTGGAGTAGTTCAACCCCCATACCAACCCACCCCGCCCCACCAAAAATCAATTTTTGATTAATGATGAGCAGAGAAAATACGAATACAGACAAATGGACCCCAGAACGTGGCAAAGACTTCTTAATTTCCCGTCCCCACCAAAAACAGAAAATACTAAAATACCCAATAAAATAATTTTACGACAAAACAACCTATTATTCATCGAAATCTTTCAATTGGGCCCAACAGAAAACCAAATCCAGTATTCCACCATGATTCAGTAATTTTCAAAGTTGGCAAGATCTGTCCGACTCCTCTTTCCCGTTGGTTTGTGTTTTACAGCAGAAAGCAAAAGCAAATTATACCAAACGAAAGTGGAAAATCACCCTCCTCTCACTTCTTTCTCTTTCATGTAGTCCCAGTTTCTCTCTCTCTCTCTTTTTTTTTATTTTTTTTTCCCTGTGTGTGTATGTGCGTATATACAAACAACTGACATGCAAAACCCAACTGCTGAAAATCGATCAATTCATACTTTTGAACCTGCAGAGGACACACCACTCCAAACCCCATGAATTCACAATTACGCCAGTTTGTGTTATTCCTTTTTCTTCTATATTGAATTCTTTGTTTTTTGCTGTATTACATTATGGAAGCTCCGGGCGTTGAAATTGAGGCGGTGTTGGAGTTCTTGAGAAAAAATGGGTTGTCAGAGTCAGAATCTGCTCTCGTGGACGATATTATAGAGAAATCTCAACTGGGTACTTCAGATTTTGAGAAGTTTTTGTTCCCTATGTTGCCGCCGCCTCCGGCGCTAAAACTTCCGGCCAATCGGCGGGGGCCGTTATCGGTGGCCTCAGTTGATGTGGCCTCAGTTGATGATGGTAGAAGTACGGGTTCTTCTGATGAGGAGTTTGTGAGTTTGGGTTCTTCTACTGCTGAATTCTGTTCCGGTATTATTATTTTTTTTCTCATTTCCCCGTTATTTGCATAATTTTGTTGAATTGTTTTATCCTTTTTCCCCTTCTCTTAAAATGGGATTTGGCAATTTTGTGCTTTAAACCACTGTTAGATTATGGAATGAATAATTATTTGTTTGTAATTGTATGCAGATACGACAAATGTTTGGCCAATTATGTAAATTTTGAAATTGAAGTATACCCACTTTGATGATAAATTATCCAAGTTTTTTACTATCTTTGTACCGTAACTGAATCATTCACTGTTTTCTTTCGCTCTTCTATTTTCTTTTTGGCAGAATTTACAAATCCTTATGGCATTCGTACAACTAGACCGACTTCTCAAGCTTCATCAGATAGGTTGTCTCAGTTTGGTACTGCACGAGATTATCCCGACTTTGATATGCAAAATGACCTATTCTGGTACAAGGAAAACGATGAAGACTATGCTATGCCACCCCTCTTTGTGGGCAGAGATTCCGATGGTGATCCGAGCGAGGATAAGTATATCACGACTGTCCAGATAGAGAAGCCCTTTGAGGATCATCTCAATTATAGTTTTATATCTGAAGGATACGCTAATTATTTGGAAAATGGGTTGCCTTTAACGATAGTGGAAAATGTAAAAGGTGAAGCTTATAAAGATTATTATGATTTGAATGAAGACTATCGACTTGAACAAAGTGATGAGAAACATGAAGAACATTGCAAGCATCTAAAAGTTGTGGATGCAAATGATGTTCATCATTCCAGGGGACAAACAGTGGCAAGTAACACTAACTTCACCAAAAGAAATTCTACATATGATTTGGTTGGAGGTTTCAATAATACCCCGGACTTCCATATACCGGTTAATACGAAAGATAACCACTCAAATGAATATGAAAACTATGAAATAAATAACAATCAAGTAATTGCTAGAGAACCTCATGAATCTGAAGCTGCAGCAGATGAAGATGGCGCTGTTATATCTGATGAGCTTCTGACATATGAAAACATGGAAGATGCTTATGAAATATTTGACCTAAGAATTATACACAGAAAAAACAGGTTTGCCATTTCATCCATTACCCGTCATTCCTTCTTTTATGGAGATATAGAGCTTGTTTCTTTCTTTCAAATTTTATTTTTATTTTTTTTCAATTGATTGGTGAAAAAAAAGCTCTACCTCATTTATTATGCCATCCACAGGACAGGATTTGAAGAGAACAAGGATCTGCCTATTGTTCTGAATAGTGTCATAGCAGGTAGATATTATGTTACGGAGTATCTTGGGTCTGCTGCTTTCAGCAAAGTCGTTCAGGCTTGTGATCTTCACTCAGGGATGGATGTTTGCTTGAAGATAATAAAAAATGACAAGGACTTTTTTGATCAAAGCTTAGATGAAATCAAACTTCTAAAGTTTGTAAACAAGCATGATCCAGCCGATGAACACCATATTTTACGTCTTTATGACTACTTCTACCATCAGGTAAGCATAAGAGAAAGTTCGGAAGCATTTTTAATAGATCTGTAAACTAAAGATCCTTTCCACTCCAATCATCCTTGTATAGTGCTGTATGAAAGAGTCTTCTAGATTTGGTCATTATGCTCTGATATCATGAGAAAAAACCACTTTAAATAGGTTTAATTTTAGTCTACTAATTTTCACAGAGTTATTTCTGGTTGGTTACAGATAACTTTTAGAACTACTTTCTTATCTCTGGGCTCCCTCTCGCTCTTTTGTTTCTTTTGGTGGTGGGTGGGTTTGGTGGGGAGGTTAATGAAACACAGGGTACAAAATTAATTTATTTTTTTTAAGAAAATGTTTTTAGTAACTTCTATGTCCATATCTAATTGTTAAGAATATCTTGCTGTCGAGAATTCTTCACGTGGTTAAAATTGAGAATTTACGTTTTTCATTTCAGTTATGATTAACACACTAGAGTTTTTCATGCTTAAAAGGAGTTTGAAGATTGTTTATTTATTTTTTTGGTGTAGCTTCTGCAATTATTGAATACACGTCTACCTTCTCTTTATCCACATATGAAATCAAAGAATGTAATAATTCATATTCTTTTTTTTCTTGAGGATAGAGTACTCGTATCAGCTGTTCAGTAGCCATTTTTAGAGCATGATAGTTGAATTCAAAGGAAAACAGGCTGCCCATCCCTGTGGCTAGCTAGTGAATTCCTTAGTTTTCAACAAAAATGGAGAAAATTCCAGAGAACCATCTGTCTCCCATGGTTTTTAAAAGTTATTTGTAATTCTTAGGTTTTAGAGTTTTGTTATTCCACGTGCTTGATAGTCATCCAATGTTTTGGAAATAAAATACTAACGTCTCGTTTTCTTTAAAAAATGATGAATTACCACGTTTGTGGTACTTGGAGACATTGTCTTTTGCATGCTCCAAGTAAAAGTGGAAGTGATAAACTCATGTAATGAATTATCTGTTTACAGAAAAGGAGTATTTTTTCTCCAAACTTCTTCATGATTACACATTTGCCAAAGCATGTTAATTAGTAAAATATTATAGTGTGAAATGTGAATCGATTATGTAACGAGTTATTTATTAATCGTGTTATTCTTTCTGTTTTAAATTCTCTTACAGGAACATCTGTTTATTGTTACCGAACTTCTGCGAGCAAACTTGTATGAATTCCAGAAATATAACCAAGAATCTGGTGGAGAGCCATATTTTACATTGCAAAGGCTGCAGGTCTCTCTATCAAAACCATTATACAATCTGATTTCTTTCCATAAACATTTGTGTTTTATATTAGTCTAGTTTAGTTGGCAAAGAAACAGTTAGATATGAAGTAGGAGGTACCAAGTGAAATGTTAAGGTTGTCTGTTTCTTTACAGGTCATAACTCGGCAGTGTTTGGAGGCCCTAGCTTATCTGCATGATTTGGGAATCATACACTGTGACCTGAAACCGGAAAATATTCTTATCAAAAGTTATGAAAGATGTGAGATAAAGGTTATTGACCTTGGAAGCAGTTGCTTTCAGAAGGATAACCTCTCCCTTTATGTACAATCTCGTTCCTACAGGGCTCCTGAAGTTATTTTAGGCCTCTCATATGACCAGAAAATTGATCTCTGGTCGCTTGGCTGCATTTTAGCGGAGCTATGCTCAGGGGAGGTATATTCTAGGATTGCTTTAATCTACTTGCTAGCCTACATGCATGTTCCTTGCACAGTAGTTAGTGACTAACTGTACGATACAGTCTACTCTTATAGCATGTTTGCATAAGCTTAAAAACGTACTGAAAAGTAGTAAATAAGTTTTAAAATAAATAATTTGTTATTGATCAACATTGAATTAAGAGCCTGTTTGATTCTCATTAATTGTGGAAAAAAATGAGTTTTGAATAGTATTTTTAGGAGAATGCGTGGTTAAAAAGTAGGGAAAGTTCTTAGTATATGTGTAGAATATTTTATTGTGTGAATGTGTGGTTTAAAATGATCCTGTAGCAAACCATAAAATAAATTAATGAGTGTCAAACGACACTAAGTAACTATCAAAATAGCAGTAACTTTTATTTTCTTACTTAAAAGCTAGACAAAGAGAATTCAAACATTATTTGAAACAATGAGTTACTTAAAAGTAAGTTTTACCTTTTTATGCTTACTCAACACTTGCAGATTTTGATTAAACAAGCACTTTATGAAAAATATAGCTGGTAAAAGTTAATTGTAAATACCATGGGTGTGTGTGGAAGAGTCAAGACTGTAACTTGTATCAACTATTAAATTATATCCAAATATAAAGAATGGGCCAATGAACAGAGACAAGTATACAAGGACCCCAAATATAAATCAAATAGATTATGCATTTGTGAGTATCTACTTGTATCCTCAAATAATCTGTTATCCACCAGGTTCTTTTTCCAAATGAAGCAATTCCAATGCTGCTTGCTCGCATAGTAGGAACACTTGGTCCCATTGACATGGATATGTTGCAAAGAGGGCAGGAGACGCACAAGTATTTTACAAAAGAATACGATCTTTATCATATTAATGAGGTTTGTTCTTTTTCTTATTTCCATTTTTGTTCTTTTTCAATTTGACTGTTAGAAAGTTGTGTTTCCTATAGTATTTGACTATACCAATTTCAATTTTTTCCGAGGTTCTTTCTGTTTTGTGTTTGGAAGTTCTATGTTTTCTATAGTCGTGTTTGCTGTTAATGATATGGTTTTCAGCATTTTATAACTTCGGTTCCTTGTACATGTGCCAACCCCCTTTTACAGCTAGTCTAAGGTCAATAAATTCCCTAATCTGAAATGAATGTATCTACTTTTGTTACAATATTATCAAAATTTATCACCAAGTTATAGTTGGCCTTCACCTTGTAAATGAAATATATGTGCATTCTACTAGTAGTTTTCTCGTAAATACAATTTTTCTATTTGAACATTTTCATATTTATATGCAATTCTGCAACAGGAGACAGATCAGCTAGAGTATATAATCCCTGAGGAGACATCCCTGGAGCATCAACTGCAGGTTTCTGATTCTGGGTTCATTGATTTCGTGCTATACTTACTAGAGACTAATCCAAAAAGGCGCCCGACTGCAAAGCAAGCCCTCGAGCACTCATGGCTTTCCCAATCATACGCTGTTAACCCCTTTTGATATTTTCATAGAGAACGAGTCTATCAAAATTCGAGCTCAATACGTCACCAATTCTGACTTGGTTCGGTACGTTGATGATCACATTGTGCATGCTGTATATTAATGGTTAAATAGACAGTTTATACATTCAAAGATTTTGTATAGGTTTTTAAGCATCCTCTTTAAGGAATTGAGGAATTATCTTTCGGGCATGAGATGAAAGAGGAGGTTTTGGTTTTGTATCGGATTCATAAACAATGTTTCTTATCCAAAGTCAGTGAATGAAAAAATACTTACATTTGAAATTGTTGTTATAAATCACTTGGTTTTTGTGGCTAGGGCAACAAATATAAGAGCATTTGTCAATATTCGAGCTTCCTATGGTTTCTTGCTTGATATTTTTTTCCCCCATTTAATTGCATCTTTTTCGCGTTATAGAATCTCCTCCCTTCTTCCACTCTTTCCGAGAGTATTGGGGCTTCCGTCGTAAATGGATTTTGTCAATTAGCTTGAAATGTGAAATCCTAAATTTTCTCAATCTGAATGTGTTCCCATTTGACAGATTAAAAGAAATGAAGCAAATGGAAGTACTGGGTGAAAGTTACTCTGTCACTCTATTACTTAGGCATCTTGTCTTTGATGATATTTTTCGGTCAAAATATTCTGTTTGGAGGTAAAAAGACATTTATCTCAGATTTCTAAATAAGCAAAAAAAATAAATAAATAAGTTAGACATAATATTTTCTCTTCATTTCGATGCACGCTAACAATGTATTTGAACAAAAAAGGGCATCAAAGATAAAATATGTTAATTAATAGATAGTTAAAGGATAAGAATATGCAAAAAAAAAAAAATGTTCAGTATATAAGTGCAAAAACGAGAGAGATTGGAGAGTTCCATTACAATTAAAATGCGAAGTAGTTAACGAAAATTGTGTTGTCAATACAATTATCTTAAATTCAATAATTAAAAAAAAGTGATAAAAAAAGTGAGATAAATATTTGATGTTTGCATCCATCATATTTGTTGAGTCCCTCGTGGACAAACTCACAGACAACATTGCCGTAATAATTGCGCTCTTATTTCCTTTTTTTTCTTAAATAAAAAATAAAAGAAATAAAAATCGTTTAATAACTCATTCTCTCCCATCACAACCATCCAATAAAAGGTGAATTATACAGAGATAAAATGAACTAAATTCCATTCGTAGAGCCAATGCAATTCCATATAATATTAAATCATCATTTTCTCCGAACTACAGCATTTTAATCACATGAAACAACAGTTCAATGTCTAAGACAACCTAGTCCCATTGAATTTCTCTGTGAAAAGTCCATTCAGATGGATTTAAGGTGGTTTTTCCATCAGAAGCAACTAGATCACAGGGTGAATCCTCTGCAAATTCAGTGGGAATGGATTTCCAGTGGAGAGATGGCTCCCATTCAGCTTCCTTCAGCACCTTGAGAATTTCTTCCACAACTATCTTACTGCCCTCGGCTGACAAGTGAACTCCATCTCTGTAGAAGAGAAACAATGATGATTAGGAGGCAACAAAGAGGCAGACAGTGCCTACTTTTTTCGAGAAGCAAGTAAAGTAGTAAATCTTTGAACTAAATATCTCCCACAAAAGTAACTTTTGAGCAAGCTCAAACATCTTTGGCAAAAATGTAACTTAGTAACCTCTTAAGTTTAGATACATATTTTGCTAAGCTTTAAAGTTACTTTCATGTACTTTTTTACCTTTTCTCTCAGGCTTTAGAAAAACAAAATCCTGACAAGCTTGTTAAGTTAGTATTTTCAAAAACAGAACTTCTGAAAAAGTTCGGAGATTTAATTTACAAGAAGCTGAATGGATTGAAGTAGTTGCAAAACATTTTATTTCTTTATAGTGGACTGAACGGATTGACGAGAGGGATTCGGGTAGGCGAACCCCAAGTTTATTCGGAGTAAAGTTATATGTTTCTTGTATTAGTGATAGAGAAGGTAGTGATCTTCGGTTTCCTATTTCAACACCACTGATGTTTAACATCTTTTTGACCGGATAAATATTCATTAGCAAAAATTTACTATTTGATAAATGCGAAAGACACGAGGTATTGTACTTACGTAAAGCAAGCAGTCAACCAATCGTCTCGTTTCTGAATTGCAGTCCAAAGATCAACAACCTTTATATGCATCTCCTTGCACAACTCTATACAAGCTTCTGAATAATTGCGGCATAATTCATTTGTTCGAACTAGCTCGCTGAGGTATGGACTGTTTTGGAAACAAAAGATATTGTGATCAAATTTAGTTAGTTGTGAATAAAGGAAATAAACACCACTAAAATTCTTGATACCGGATATAGGAAGGCTTGCTATGTCGTAGTCATAATAGTACCTTCTGTTTTCATGAAGTTTAGCCTCGTTGACAGGAGGACAACTGAGAAAGATTATGCGGGTTGCGTCCGAAAGGCTCTGAAATTCAGATGCAGTGTTAAAATTTATATGGCTTCTAACTGGAAAAGGAAATACAAACCAGCCTAGTTAGCATAAGCATTTTCTTTCCGAGGACAAGTCTATCAGAGAAGAAAGTAATGGACGATTTTAAGAATATGCTTTCATTATCATATTTATCGAAACAAGAAATATATCATTAACACTACTGAGTTTTTCATATTCCCCTCGAAGATCTCGCCCCTAAAACACAAACAGAATGTTGAAGACTACATCTCAACAAATAAATATGTCCCATCTCTTAGAACTTAAGCTTTTAGATGAAGGAAGCTTTGATGAGGTGATTCAACGTGCAATCACAATCACCTAAAACATCTCATTATTTTCCAAAAACCTTTTGAATTGATGAAAATGTCATAAACTGAACAAGTTTTATGCACAGACGTATCTTTTTTGGTTAGCATTGAATTATTTTATTGGGTGTGAAATATAATTTAATCAAAACTAGATGTTGCCACAACACCTTGTAACCTGGACAGCCGGACCTATAAGTCACAACTCAAAGTTCATTTAATACTACTTCACAGAGACAAACACTTTCGGGGCCATTTTTCGTTGTGGATAAGTTACCTTGAGATGGATTGCTATTTTTCTCATGTTTTCAATATACTCTGGAAGCGGTACGTGAGGACCTAGTCCAGATGAGTGAGGTCCCATAGAATCATTACCGCCAAAGTATACGATCACCAATGATGGCTGAATAGCAGCATCCTGAGAAAGAAAAACGTTGTGTTTAGTATCAAAGCACAGCCAATGGTCATAAAGATATCTGATATTATTGTGTTTTTAGTACATCTAAAAGGATGTCAAAGAAGGATTAATAATATTTTGACGATTATAAAAACTCACGACTCTAAAAAGGATTTTTACTAAATCAATTACATAATGCATGTTTTGTACTCAGGGAAATCTTCATCATCTGTTACTCTATTGAATATCCATAAACATCAACTAAGAGCATTAGTCAAAGATAATGCATAAATTAGTGTAGCGTGTATGACATTGCACTGTGTTTCCATACCATTAAAATAAGGTTTTTTTTTTTTAATATCATAGATAATGCAACAAATAAAATTGATGCTAACTTTATGGAAATGACTTTTTCTGTTCATATCATTAGAACTGAAAAGCAGAAGTTACTGGCAGCACGCCATGAGGTACCTTTGGAAAAATTTGATCAAGGACTTGGACGGCTCGTCGAGAATTCCAACCATAGTAGCCTCGTGATATTACATCAGCCTACAAGGGTAAATGGAGAAGCTAATGATGCATCAAAATGAGTGGACTGCTTTATTACTCTACATCTAAAAATGTGGGATCCGAAACTTTTGGGTCGTCTTCTGTCATGTAATTATTAAGCCTCCATTGGGAAGAACTTATAATATAGATAAACTGAGAAGTGGATAAATGAATAGTACTTGTGAATCCGTTGGAATGTTTGGTTGTAACTTGTAAATGAAGTTTGACCATCTATGAATGATTTATAAACTTTGCCAATCACAGGTTAAAGTAAATACGCGAGACACCTATTTGCACATATTCACAGAAATTTTTAACTAAACTCTATGCATAAAACAAAAAAATAATAATAATAATAATAGTTCAAGATCAACACAGTCAGAAAGCGCATCAATTGCACAGAAACATACCGTTTTCACTGAAGAAATTTGAGCACAGGTTGTGAAGAATTTAAGGCTCGTAAGTTTCAATATACAAACGACCTATTTGGGTGGAGGTGGGGGGCATTGCGTTGGCATGGACAGTGACAGTTCATCAATATGAGAAGACGGATAACTTAGGACACATAAGGACTTCCGGTAGATGAAAATAGAAGTGTACATTTAAAAGGACATTACATCATAAGAATCAAGTTGCTTCAGTCAGACCAATGACTGCCACCTATCCATTTTAGGAAGACTAGTTTAGATTTTAAATAAAACTTTTTCTATGATGAAATTTTCCCATTACAAGCCTCAGATGACCAAATTAACAGAGACAGGCTCTAGCTACATGGATAAAGTTTAGTAGACGTATTTATTAGTGAAATTTTTAGAAAAGATGAACGTGATATGAGCAAGAGGACTGATACCGAGTTTTGTGTCACAAGATGGACATCAGTACATGGTCTGAAGAAGACGACTGAACAATGAATAACTACTTCAACATATGTAAAGGTAAATCCATCACTGCAACTTTGAATTTTCAGTATGATTTATTCTGAAATCATACATCATCTGGTGCAAAACTCAGTATAATATGCACAGTTAACTGAAAGCCCTTTATTAACAATGCATGCAGGATATTTTTCGTTTTTCTTCTCCGTGCGACACCCTAAGGGGAAGATACCACGTATATTTCTCATGCCCCAAGTACTGAACATCATGAATCACCCTTTTTTTTCCAAAACAGTAAGAAATCTAATAATTCCTTTGTTTTGGAACAGATCATCAACATTATTGAAGACAAAAAATATTTTTAATTGTATGACAAGGTCATTTATCTGATTTAAAGTTTTATAGATGTTT